CAGGGCCTCCCAATTTTTTCATTTCTTTTTCATCCAATTCTAGATTTTTAAGTAAAAAATTAATTATGACTCATGTTAGATAATAATAATAATAGTATACGATAAATCTATTGAAACTATAAACTAATTACAAGGCAAGTTTATTTATTCTAGTTAAATCTAGTTTTAGAACAAAAATGAAATTACCTTTTTTTTTTTTATAATCGTACATTAAAATAAATAAACCTTTGTTAAGTCCGGAGTTTACAAGTTTACTGTTTCGGATTTGTGTATCAATTGGAGCCAATGGTTTCACCTAATTAATTCTTGAGTGGACATTTTTTATAATGTTGCGTAGGAACATTTCCTAGGCTTACGCTCCGGACTAATCAGAATACGTGCTGTAATCGTTACTTTATAATTACACTATCACCTATTTTTGATTGTCTCAGGCAATATGTTAACATTGAATACTAATATAGTAACAATAAAAAGTAGTATAACTCAAGATATACATCATTATCATGCGGTTATGGTCTATCGTTTACGTAATCATCACAATATTAATACAGTATTGATCTTTCTCTGAGCGTGAGGTTTTTTTTATTTTCGACCTATATACTGTACATTATAATTCAATCGAGCATACTAATTATGAAATTTGGTGGATATGAAATCGAGATACTGGTTGAAGACAAGCCTTTGAAAGAATATTATGTTCCCGTTTCTGAAGGAGTTGTAAGTTGAAATTGGGATGTTGATGTTCGATGAAGCGTTTTTAACTCGAATCCTTTTTTTTATGATAATTAGGTTACCGCCACAGGACCCTCATACTTTTTTGATGCTGTGACCGGTGAAAAGTTGATAAGGTATACACAAATAATAGTGTTCTCGTAAGATTCACTGGATATTTCTTTATATCTATATAATTTATCATTCTCTACTTTTAACCGAAATGAAGTTCAGAGGTAACCTACGCATCCGTAGTCAGACCCAATACTCGGTTTGCAATTAAATTAGTTGCACAAGATGCAAACCCAGAAAATCGCATATTGGCCGAAGTATATGTCGACGGAAAAACAGATCACCGCGGGAAACATATAAGAAACGCTAATCCCCGCAAAAAAGAATATTTTAGGAGCTCAGATAGGACGAAGAAGTGTTATTTTAAATTTGGCAACTGTATGACAAAAGGAACGTCCAATTGTGTAACACATGCTGGAGATTTTGATTCTGAAGACGATAGTTTGAAATCTGACGATTCGAAAACTATTTCAAGTTCAAGGTCGAGTTTGAGAACCATCTCGAGTTTAGAATCAAGTCCAAGGTGTAGTTTGGGAAGAAATGACAGTCAACAACAGTCCACGTCTTTGAACAATTCATTCCGGAGCATCAAAAATCTAGAATTGGATGAAAAAGAAATGAAAAAATTGGGAGGCCCTGGAGCGGTTTCAGTATATTTTTACCGAGCAGAATGTATAACTAAGGAAACTGTGCAATCACCACAAAAATATGAGCAAAGATTTGATAAAGAAACCGAATTAAGTGATGAAAGGAGGGACATGGGAACAGAAGGAACATCCGAATACTTATACTTCACGTCATTTGACGAAGTAGTAGATAGCCCTTTGAGTAAAGAATCGAGGTATGCGACAATGAATGACTTTGATCTCGAACCTATTGCTGCACTACATTTGCATTATAGGCCCGAGAGTTGGATTTTAGATCAAGGCTTCAGTGCTGTTGGTGAGAAGGATAAAGTACCGGAGTATACAGAAGATTGTGAAGATTTGGAAACCACATGGGATGATGGATCAAATAAAGAGATGGGAGACATTGAAATGGTAAATGGGGAAACTAACACATATTCAATGGGTATTTATCCTTCCGGCAAGTTTGATCCCTCAGGAGCTAACATTGGAAATCTAGATTTGCATAATAATTCAAAAGGTACAACCAAAAAATTTCCCAAAACTTCTCTCAAACCATCTTTTAGTGCTCCGAACAATACTGATTGTAGTAATCCAATAAACAAAAAAAATTTACCTACCTATGTAAAATTTACAACCATAACGGTTACAGCTACTTCTACTACGATCGATCTATCAAATAGTAGTAATACTATGACAGATACAAATATTATTATGGACGAAGATATTTTGGATGATTCATTGGTTGAGACCAACTTAGCAGATAAATTTAAACATAGTGTGAACATTGGCGGCAATAAGGGCAACAAGGAAAATGGTGACAATAGACTTGGATGTGATGGCAAAAAAGTTAATTCAATTGGTGGGCAAAATAGGGATTTGGAAGAGGATCAATCTGAATATGATATAGTTAGAAGCGATGATTTGGAGAAGAGTTTTGGGAAAGACAATAAAAGAAAGAACGGGATGAATTATAATTCATCTGGTAAAGTCTGTGACACATTAAATGACGATAATAGAAATACAAAAAGAATTAAACACTACGAAACAAATGAAAATGCGGCTGAAAATGATGAAAGAATAGATAATTTCTTTATTAAACGCCTCTATAGAATAAAAGAGAATAGGAAAAATGGGATGGCACAAAATAAGTCAAATGAGAAACAACAAGAATTCCAAAAGGAAAAGACCACTAGTGTCGGGGCCATATCGCAGGCTAAACAACAGACACAAGTAACTTCACAATATCCTTATTCACAAAAGAAAATCGAAAGTAAGGAAGTTATGGAAACATCACGGAAAAATCAAGTCTCACTAGAAACGGAGGAAACACGGAGAGAACAGCAAATCTCACAAGAAACGGAGACATCACATAGAGAACAGCAAGTCTCACAAGAAAACTCGCAGAAAATTTTGCAAAAACAACTAAATGTTAAGAAATCAGATGTTGGACTTACGAAGATATTACAGGATGAGCAACGAAATCCAAAAGATAAGCAGAGGTTTTTTTCGCAAAGAAACCTAGAGAGCGGTACTTCTGGAATTGGTAACACAAACATATCACAAGAATGTCCAATGAATGTTTTTACACAGAAGACATTAGAAAGCTCAGGTTTTGACACCAATATTCAGGATAAACAACAAACCATGAAAGATAATGAAATTTTGTATGATTGTCCAACAATCGATCAAAGTGTGAATCCAAGTGATAATCCTTCGAATTTTAATTATATCGTTGAGCATAATAGGAAAAGAAAGCACGTGGAGGATATATCAGATATTAGTGAAGGAAGGTATATAAAAAAAGAATTTAAGGAAGTAAGTGTGAAGAAAGAAGTTGATTTCGAAGAGGAAATGGGCAATAATATGAAAGCGAATGAAAAATCCGGGAGCAGAGATATTTCAAAACGAAAATTTTACGCAGTAAATCATTGAGATGGGTTTTAAATGATATTAAATAGTCCTTGAACTTTATGCTTTTGTATACATCGAAATTTTAACAATGTTCAAAAGTAAAAGGAGTTGGAAAATATACTGTATTTAACTGCAATAGAATCCCAGCAAAAAAAAAAAAAAAGAATCGGGTTAACTGTATATATTATACATATATATCAACAATAGATTGTTTAAAGAAAATAATCGACGTTTTAAATTATATACTGTAATTATTAGTATAGTAATAAGCTTTATAGTTATTCCACCAATACTGACTCTGGCCCCAAACTTTACCCAATAAAAGACAACTTTATATTGATCTAGTAGAGTTTTTAATATCTCTGGGAGTGAGTAACAAAAAAGCGTTAAGATAGAAACGAAAGAAAAACAAAACACGCGATGTAAATCATTTTTCCTTTCTAAATTTCATTAAGTCAATATTCTACAATTTTAATATACAATAAGATACTGTATTTCATAAAACAAGACTTCGGTTCAGATAATAATCTTATACGTAAAAATAAAATTTGATTATTCCATTCGGTAAAACTATGATTTTGCAGTAGTACCTCTTTACTCCAACAGACACGAATTCATTAAATTCAAACCTTTGCTTCTTGAATAAATACTTCGGAAATTTATAATATAGCTTAATGCTAAGTCCAATGCAGAGTGACTTGTGACGTTTGTTTATCTATTTTTTCCATATGCCGCTCTTATTGAATCATCGGCTAACAAAAGTCTCCTGCTTCTGTATTATTCGAGCAAGGCTATAAATTATACCGAGAAGATACTGTAAGAAGGGAAAATGTTCGGTCAGAACGCGATGTTAATTACGTGACCGACGAAATGGCAAGCGGCTATCATACTCTTCCCTGCTTAGATAATACAATTGTGGGAAAGGAGTTTGCTTCTTTTTATTTCAAAAATGTATCAAAGCACAAGTAAAAATCCAAGTTAAGTTTTCGATCAAATCGTATACGCCTCTTTCTACTAAGGATCCTAATAATTCTCTTCGATTTTGTATTCGATTTTTAGGTTTATATTAAATTTAATAGGTGAGGTATAACCCACCTTCATTTTTAATAGTGTTCCGAACCTCATGCGATTCTATGCGATTCCAATTTTCGGAACCATACTCTCTACGCTTAATCAAACTCTAATCACAAACTCTGCCTGTTAGCAACAGACTCGATCTACCGTGGCAATATAGTATAAGTGACACCATGTAATTCATGTGTTCCTTTAGCGAGGAACATCAGATTACTGATAAGAAGATCACACAATATTAACGCTTTAGTATGTTTTAGAAGGTTTGAGAGACCACAGCCGCACCGTATTACTTCTAGCTAGAAGGTTACACTGTGAATTGTACGAGTATATCCTAGGATGCGTAGATTTTATAATCAGGGATGGACCACAGCCGTGGGTACCATCTAGAAAGAAAGTCACAGTATTAACGTCACTAGTATTTCCTAGAGCATGCAGATCTAGGTTAGGAGTCTTGAGGAATTACTGCCTGATGCTGGTTGGTGCCATCCGGAGAGAAACCCACAGAAAAGAAACTGGTATGCGCGAATTCTGATTAATAGTCTTGAAGGTCCATATCAAAACCGTCCCGTCCCCACTGCCCGACGCTAGTTGAATATCATCTGGTTAGGACATAAAAAAGATGGAGCTAATATGTAATGGAGTGCGTGGAAGATTTTAAGTGACCACAGAAACACTGTATTATCCTAGCTACCCGATACTAGTTGGGTATCATCAGGAGGCCATAGCGTAACATCTTTAATATGTCCTAAAATGCACGGATCCTGATCGGGATCTAGATGGACTACAGCCTCATTGTGTTATCTGAACTTCCCTATGCTAGTTGGGAACTACTGTATCCGGAGCGAATGTCACACTATAAATTGTCGTTTAGAGTATATAATAAATATAAATTTTCTCTGTGCTACCAATAATGAGAAAACTTCCATCGGGAAATAATATTCTGCGATTTAAAAACGGCATTTTCTAAATCACATAATCGATATACTGTATTATCCTCGCTAGAGTCCTCACACCATAATTATGCCCTTTGGATTGAGTGTGATCAGAGACACTGTGACTTAAATCTGCTCTGGAAATATCAACTTTACTTAAGTCATATCCACTAAATACTGTACCGGCCTTATTTATAATTGCAATTGCATTATTTGCGGCGATTTAAAGTTCATATCTGTCTTTGAATTCTTAATCAAGTTAAAAGATAGTTTATACATTTCAAACTTCAAGCTTAAAGAAATATTCGGTTAAAATGTGGTGTTACGTAATAAAGTTCCTCAAATAATGCATATTTGGCTTCCCTACAACAGCTTGGCTTTGTGATTAAAACGATATTGGTCTTCATTACGACTTGAGCAAAGAATTATAATGCAAAAGGTGTATCTCTAGAATTTTCTATCTCGCCAATCTGTAGTTATTTCAACAGGATTGAGTCTTATTACTAGTTGGTGATGTCCTTTAGACTGATGTGATATTTTATAAATTCATCTATTCCGTTTTTCTTTTCTCTGAGCAACAATCTAATAATCTCCAAAAGTGTTAACTGTATACGATTTTTGGACTGCAATAATATCAAATATTACCGAGAATCCGACATCGTTGGCTGCGTTAATAAAGTATATGGTAGCTGTTTTAGCCATATATATGTTTAAGAGCTTCTTTATGCAATCATCTGCGTTGTCTTCGCGTCATGAAGCAGAGAGCGTCCTGATAATAAAGCCGCATACACGGTTAATGGATAATGAGATACATATCCAAATAAATGATTACGTGGTCATTCTGAAAACTGAACACAGTACAGTAATAATTTGATTTTTTACTTTATATAAAATGTTGTTTAAAAAATATATGTATACAGTATCTAGCTAATGAGACATAAAATTTATAAGAAACAGAATTTTTATTAAATCTATGTATTTTTAAACAACGCTATTTATTAACACATTTTATTATTATCACAGTATTTTAAATTTCGAATTTGTTAAAAAAACATTATGGTTTTTTATTAATAATATAACAAACGTTCAGTATAGTATAGGATCTATATTTCTCATTTTAATCACAAGTGGTGAATTTCTCTTCTGAATAATATCATGAATACTGTATCGGTCGTTTATTTGCAAATATTTCGAAAAATATTTTTATTATCTTTATATACAAATTTTTTTAAAAAATTGTTTTTAATGATATAACAGACCTTTTCTAAATACATACACCGTATAGGATTTAGTTAACTGAAGAAGACCCTATTCAATCTCAAGTTCATATGAATCATATAAAGATTCCTTTCGATAAATGCCTATTGTTTTGATAACTTGCAATTAGAGAATGTTGACTATATTTGTTTGTATATTATATCATATTAAAATCTGCGTGCAATATATATGAATTGTATGTGTATGTTGCATATATATACATGTATTGTACATAAATACTATATTTTAACTGTGAATGGTCAAACCTTGAATTAATTAAAATAACATACAATTAGCAATAGACCAACAGTAAACATAAGATTTTTAATATGATCACCCATTTACCCATTTTAAAGATAGATAGCGTTGATATTTACCTTTCTCTAAAAGTACTTTGCTATAATGACCAGATTCATATACAAAGTTTATTTCGACTAACTAGTTTATTTGGTTTACATTGATACTGGAACTACACCCAGCTAATCCAACCCACGTACATTACACCGAGTACAAAAGGATCCGTTGCGAGGTCAATCAAACTTTCAACCTGTTCCTTGACACTACTACATTTTCGTGGTATACGGGCCCTGACATTATGCTCGGGACTTCCCTTGGCTATGGATTGAATGTGTTTTATAAAAATTTTGTTCGAATGCCCGGCCAACAATTCTTCGCAGATGATGTCTGATGTATGCAAATAATGCATGAGTATTACAAAACTTAATAGCAGTTACAACGAAAGATTTATGCTTACATGCAGGATTTTCGCCGCTAAGTTTACGTTGAGCGATATCCAACTTTTGACGTGGATACCATTCTGCTGTACGTGCCTTTTCATTATCGATTTCACTGCTTTCTGGATTTTCTGTAAAATTCATTAATAGTTATTTTGAATCCATAACAATATATACCCTCCAGGCATGCTAATATTAATGAATTTACTTTGATTATTGGCTTTTCTTCTTGCTCTTATTTGCCAATCCAATAAAGGTTCTTTGACAAAGATCTCCATGGAATTTAACAATATATCTTTATTCGCATGCATGACTAAAGAAATAAGGTTCGTAAGTTGTAAATATATCCAAGAGAGCTTAAAATCAAAGAAACCTACTCTGCATTATTTTGATCATTGGGTATTCTAAAAGACCTTTGGAACCTAAAGGCTCCATTAAAGATTCTATTTGCCTGGTAAGTCTAAAAGGAACTAATTCTGGAACTTCAAGTGTCTCCGTTGCAGACCCAAAGGCGTGACCAAAATCAATTGAAATTAGGGAGCCACTGTTTATCCGGATTAATGATGAGATTAGTTCTTTACAACGTGACAGAATATCATTAAATATTAATCAACAGTAATAGGATTACTTTGTAAAATCAATTAGATAATTTTCCATATGCCGATCTCCGATCCCTGTGAATGCAGAATAAATTTAGATCAAGCATCAAATAATGATGATAAACAGAAATCGCAATACATGCCGATCAAATAGCCACAAACGTTTATGGCAGCAAGGTTTTTTACGAACTCCGCACGAATAGACAAGTGAACTTCTGGTGAAGCCGCAAGCTTGTACAATGCTTTTTTGAGAGAATTTCCATTGATCATACTTTGAAGTTTCATCATGTGCTTAACGACCTCTTCACGGCTTACTTTCGTAAACATTTTGGGGTAACCTTAAATTGAATAGATTGTTAATTAAACATTTAAGGGATGCATATCATTTATCTTGAACGTGTGCTCACTTTGATAGTTATCCTTCACCCAATTATCATGCTCATACTGACTATCACAAATGGTATTTTGATTAAAGAGTTCTTTTTCGATGATCTGTTTAAGTGGTTCGGTATCGGGTATCCACTCTATTATTCCTAGACTACCGGTCATAGGTACAACCTTCAAAAGATCATGTCAGACAATGTTACGATATTCCTTTATGCAAAAAGTTAAGAATTAACCTTGTATGTTCTTAACGCTATTTTTCGCTGGGAGCAATAAAAATCTTTGCGCATCAATTCATTCATGACGGTGAACAGCAGTTGAACCCTTTGATCCAGTCGTAGGTCTTCACCCCCCTAAAATAATTGATGGATAAGAAAAGGTTTTATTGATAAAGAAGAAAGCTTATCAGAAATCTTTTACCTTTACCAGAAACGGATACTCATTACCATCCGTTCCCAGGATAGTTATTTTCTTGGGCTTTCTCATTGATCGTAACACAAGCAGTTTGGGATCGAAATGTGCGATCTTGACGTGACGAGTTGGGTCTGGAATAGTTAGCCCATCATATTGACCTGGAATTTCGATATCCTAAAATTTTCTTCATCAGCATGTTGCGAATGAATTATCACTTTTTTATTTTTGCAAATACAATAGAAGATATACCTCATCTATATTTGACGAAGAAAACTCGGCAAGCCATGCAGAATAAAATTTCAACAGGCTGACTCCAAGTATCTTCCTCTCCATCGGTTTAATGGATTTCTCATAATAACTCCAAATTACTTCCCGGAATTTTTGATTATTCATTTTGGTTAAATTTATTCCGTCAGTGCCTTTTTAACATTGAGAATTAGATAAATAATAACTTCATTGAAAGCTAACCAAATCGCTTACCGCAGGTTTTATTGATATAACCAGAATGACTTTCGGCAAATTCTCTAGGTAAGAAAGGAGTTAAGAATGAATTTGAAGTAGAACTTGCGGTAATTAATATGCTTGTCATTTCATTTAAAGTGAAGGATATCTAAAATTCCATAGCGAGGGTTCTCGGTATCTAACAAAAATGCTTTCATTTCTCTGAATGATGCCTTTATATCCTCAGACCGATCTATACCGTTGGTCATTTCCCTGATGTAGGCATTGATTCTTACGCACCAACCGTAAAAAACAGTTTCTGGATTGGTGAGTCTCTCAAGTTCTCCTATCAGGGTGTCTATCACATCACTCTTAATTATTTGCTTTAATTGCTGAATTTTGTTTTTATTTTCCCGTACGGCTCTGTTTCTCTCATCAAATTTATAATGATCGCTGCTAATTTTCAAGGGGTAGTATAAGCTCTTCGGATATAATCTCGAGAGCTAACAATAAGAATAACAATGATAAATCAAATTATTCCCCTCATCTACTAATGTCAATTAAGGTGTTCATATTTTCAGCAATAAAGTTACCTCGAAAAGTATTGGGAAAACGCATTGGGCGGTGGGCTTATCCAAAACCGCTACAATTTGTGGGATCCACCGAATAAACCTCCACACAGGCCCGAATGATTTTACCTGGGCAACCAGTAAAAATACGAATAAAAAAGATGAAATGATAATCCTTTTCTACAAAGTTTTCACCATGAAATACCTTCTCTTCAAAAGTTCTTTGAGATCGCTCATAAATGTCAATTATTTGAAGCAATCGTGGAAAGAATTCCAAAGCTTCTTTGGATCCATAATCTATTGCTTGTAAAATGTTCTGTATAACGGTGGATGCATACTGGTCTTTATCAAAGGTCACCTATGCGGTAAACAAAGAAGTCTTTGGGTAAAAAAGATAATCACTGATTTGTGCAAAAATCTTAAGCTTGAGTAATTACATTATGTAAGTCATCGTTGGATTCCAAAGAACGAAGAAAATGATCACAGAATTTCGCAAATTTAACAAAGACCTTGGCTTGATTAGAAGACTATAAGCAAGATATATATAAATGTATACATATGAAGTTGTAATGAGCGTATCCGAGGGAAACAATAAAAAATAAATAACTTAAATTACTTTAAGGTGCAGCACTGCTTTTTCGGAAATGTTATTCAAAAGATCAAATCCGTACTCCATAAAACTTTGCTTACGACCTTTGAGAGAAGGGTAACTCGTAGTAGATTCGGGTTTGTCAAATTCAGCCGTCAGAAGGGAATATGTTTCACTCTCAATAATTCGGCATTTCATTTTAATTTTTACATCGGAAATCTTTAAAAATGACAAGAACTCAGAATCTGTATTTAATAAGAAAGTGAATTAATTATCATAGAAACCTGCCTCCATTTTTCCAAATTCGTCAGCCATGGCCAATAGAATGTCGATTCGTTTTTTGGAATCAGAGGTAGTTATGGACTCCTTAAGATTAAGCTTAAATTGATGATATTTGAAGTCGTTTGTAGAACGAAGATCTAGAGATCGACCTTTTTTGAGACATTCACGAGCGACTGCAAAATTTCCCTGAACCCTTGCAGCTGAAGCCATTTTCAACAGGCCTTGGTTTTCAAGAATATTCATAACTGAATTGAACTTTACACAAAGTTAATTATCAATATTACCTTCAGTTAAGATCTTTAAGTAGACTATAACAAAAATTTTTGCTCACCTTTTGGTCATTCACCAACCAATTTAACATGTTGTCAATGATGGAATGGCGACATGTTATT